GGTTTCATGACGACGGAGTGGATGGATACTTTGATGGTGAGGTTAGACTCAGTTTAGGCAGTCGTTTTTTTTTGGAGGAGCGGGCTGCTTCTATCATTATATTGCTCATAGCTCAGAATCGAGCAACACTACTCTGATATATACATATAAATTGTAAAATAGTGCAGGATCGGAGAAATAAACAGAGAGAAGAGAAGAGAAGTAAATAGATATTAAGACTCAGAACTAGAGAGATAGAGAGTACACATAACATGTAAGAAATATAAATAGAGAGAGAAATATAGAGAAAAAGGGAAGAGAGTGAGAGAGAGAGAAAGAGAGAGAGAGAGAGAGAGAGAGAGAGAGAGAGAGAGAGAGAGAGACAAAAACCTACACTTGCTCCTCTCGACAAAGTAATTCTTCTGACCGAGAACCCGGACCTCGAACCCCTTCCCGCCGCCCTCAAAGTCCTTGGAGGCGTAGACCTCGCCCTTGTTATCCCAGTCGTTGCCGCGGTACGTCTCCCAGGCAGCCAGCCCGCCGTCGGCGGCGACATCGAGGCGTAAGGGCGCGAAAGCGTGGGTCGCGCAGTGGACGTCGACCAGGTAGGACCCGGGCCCCGTGAGGTTGTAGAAGACAAAGGTGTTCTTGACCGACAACGGCGCGGAGAAGGAGGCGCCGAGGGTGGAGAGCGTCGCGTGGGTTGAGGGCGGGAGGGTGTAGGGGTTCGGGAGGGCTTGAGAGGAGGGGACGGAGAGGGTTAGGGAAGCGGCGAGGGCGCTGCTCGTTTGGAGGGCTGCTGTTGCCGCGAGGGCTAGGGAGTTGAGGAGGCGCATGGTGATGTTGGTTTATTTTATTTTTTTCCCCTTTTGGTGATGGGCAGTAGGCGGTGGAATCAAGATTTCGAGGGGGTCGAAAGAGATTCTTTAGTGGCGGGAGGATGGAGACCTTTAGATGTAAACGACAAGTTAAAGGGGCGCGGGTAACCAAAGGAAGGGAAAAAAAGGTTTGACGGCGGAAGGGTTTGTGAGGTTCTCGGGGTGGGATGTCGAGGATATAGCTGAATCGCCGGGCCGTGGTATGGGAGCTTGCGGTTGTTGGATAGGGTGGGACAGACACGCACAGACAAGACAGAACGGCGTTGGTCGTTGAGAGGGCGAACCTCTCGCGGCCAATCAGAGTTCGTTGACGGATTAAACCGGTCGTCTACGGCGCGCCGGAGGTGGAGACGGTGAACATCACCCCGCCGGGCTTGGGTCCCCGCCCATTCCAGCTTTACTTACATTGTAGGTAGTTGAGCTTTTCGCGGGTTTTTTAGCAACCGGCGCCGGTGGGACGGGATGGCCTAGTTACAACCACAGACCTTGTTGGAATCCTGCACGTTTCCCATTCTACCTCACGGTAAGGTATATTTTGCAGAATGGGCAGTATGTCACCTTACAAGAGCATCTGCCTTGAGTCGAGTTCGAATGACTCTTGTCTCCATCGCACTGCAACGGCAACATTTGTTGCATGTCCACACTAAACCAGCGCGCCACCCACTAGGAATTTGTGGCGTCGGCACGTTTCATTTCGATGCGTGCTTTGGGGTGAGTTGCCACGGGGGAGCTAATGGGCTGACTACACACTCTCTTATCGGAGGAGAGGATCATGAGGCATTCTTCTTCATGCGCCCATTTCCTCCTGATCTTCAGTACCTGGTCAAGCGGGTGACAAAAAAAATTGTTACACAGTACCACACCCAAAAACCGTGTTTCCCCTTTAACCAATCATTCGACTTTAAGCGCTTTTAAAATCAAGAAAAAACATCATGTCAGGCGCACTATAATCACTTCTATATTACTGGTTAGAAATTTGTTGATGAATACTAGTAATCATGAGGGTGTCCAGACAGTGGTCAATCGTAGGAGTTTGGTGGTAGGTAGTGTGTATCAATTGTTTGTCACCCGCTTGCTGGTGTCTTGTGGACCTAGGTTGGACGAGGCATGGCTGATGTGAGATCTGCGCACTGTCAACAGCGGACGCGGATCCGGTCTGTACTGGCCAGGCACGGCACGACTGGATCAACATTGTGTCTGATCTTCGTTGCACGAGGAACGGCAAGGGCATTCAAGCATGGTGGCGTTTCGGGTTTTTCTCACATTCAAGACGACGTGTAAGACAAGATCGTAAGTTGCTTTATTTACGGGTATTCTTTCTCGTACATGAAAAAAAAAGCAGAAAATCATTCAGGCACACGCATTTCCATGAAGGGTACTCTCGGAGAGAAGGGGTATCCAACCATCAGAGGCGGGCCAACAAGCACAAAGGGAGAGAAGTCTCTCGTTCCCCCCCCCCACCTCTTGGTCTATTTCTCATGTCTCGCTGATTTACGGCGCGAGGGGCGCGTCGTCCTGCTTGGTCTCAGGAGCCGGGGCGGCCTTACCCGTGGTGGAACTGGAGGAGGCGTTCTTGAAGGACTGCTCAAAGTCGGCAATGATGTCGTCAATGTGCTCCGTGCCGACCGAGATGCGGATAAGGTCCTCGCTGACGCCGGAGCTCGTCTTCTCCTCGTCGGACAGTTGCTCGTGGGTGGTGGTCCAGGGGCTTTTGTGACAGTCAGCGAATGAGACCATTTCTCGAGAGCGAGGGAGAGAGCTGCTGCTGTGGTTCTCGTCCTCGAGGATTGCAACTTACTGGATGGCCAAGGTCTTGGAGTCACCGACGTTGGCAAGGTTGGAGATGAGCTTGAAGCCGTCGACAACCTGGCTGCCGGCTTCGCCGCCGCCCTTGACGCCGAAGCTGAGAACACCACCGAAGCCGCGCTTGAGGTACTTCTTGGCCGTCTCGTGGTACGGGTGGCTCTCAAGGCCGGGGTACGACACCCAGCTGACGTACTTACTGGCCTCGAGCCACTTGGCGAGGGCGAGGGCGTTTTGCGCGTGGCGCTCGGCGCGCAGCGATAAAGTCTCGATGCCGATAATGAGCTGCTGGGCGGCAAAGGGGTTCAGGGCGGCGCCGAGGTCGCGGAGGATCTCGACGCGGGCGCGGATGATGAAGGTGATGGGGCCGAACGTCTCCCAGAACTTGAGGCCGTGGTAGCCGTCGCTGGGCTCCGTCATTTGGGGGAAGCGGCCGTTGTCCCATTTGAACTTGCCGCTATCGACGATGACGCCAGCGATGGTGGTGCCGTGGCCGCCGATCCACTTTGTCGCGGAGTGGACGACGATATCGGCGCCGTGGTCGATGGGGCGGATGAAGTAGCCGCCCGCGCCAAAGGTGTTGTCGACCTGGGGTCCAGTGTTAGCTGTCGTCTTCTTCCCGGTGCATTGCGGCAATATGGTGGCGGTGTTGGGGAGAAGGGACCTACAATGACGGGGACGCCCTTCTCGTGCGCAACCTTGGCGATCGCCTCAAGATCGGGGATGTTGTACTTGGGGTTTCCGATGCTCTCGACGTAGACGGCTTTGGTCTTGTCGTCGATGGCGGCGGCGATGTCCTCTACGCGGTCGCCGTCGACAAACTTTGTGTGAATGCCTAGGCGGGGCAGGAAGACCTTGAACTGGTTGTAGGTGCCGCCGTACAGCAGCGAGGTGGAGACGATGTTGTCGCCGGCGTGGGCGAGGGCATTGATGGCGATGAACTGGGCGGACTGGCCGGAGGATGTGGCGAGGGCCGCGACGCCGCCCTCGAGCGCGGCGATGCGCTTCTCAAAGACGTCTACTGTAGGCTGTATTATGGAGCGGTCCGGTCAGTCATTTTGGACAATATGGTTGGCACAGAAGTTGGTTATTCATAGGAGAGCGACGTACGTTCGTGATACGACTGTAAATGTTGCCAAACTCCTTGAGGCCAAAGAGCCTCGCGCCGTGAGCCGAGTCATCGAAGGTGAAACTCTACGTGTTGATCTGCTGTCAGTTCCCACGGTGTTGCGCTTACGCTCGCGGAGAGCTTCGTTGACGTCGGAAGGTTACGCACCGTAGTCGCGTAGATGGGGACAGCGCGCGAATTCGTGGTAGGATCGGGTACCTGGCTACAGGATGCAACAGTTTTCACGTCAGGTCTCGAACGGCTCCAAAGCTAAGGTTATTTGCCTCCCGAGGACATGTTTGCTGTGGTAGTGGTGGTGGGCAATACTCTGTGAGAGGGAGAGCGCGCGCGTACATACCCCGCATGGAGCTGGAGAGTCTCAAAGTTCTTGCTCAGTTCCTCAGCCATTGTTGAGTTTGACTTTCTTTTCGTCTATAGCAAAGAATGCGTATGCGGATGAGGATGATTTGGAGGCACGGGAGAGATGAGGGAGGAGGGACGGGCTTTTTTTTTTCCTCGTTAGGTGTGCGAACAGAGACGAAGAGCAACGGGACGGTGACGCGCTTAAGAGAGACACAGACGGGCCGGCAACGGAGTACGCAACGGCGAGGAAGAACACGGAAGAGGGGAGGGGGAGGGGCTTTCCAGTAAGAGAGGCAGAGAAATCGGGCTAGCTACGATGATGCCATTGAGGGGATATGACACCATAGGTCGAATTTGTGTGTTGTATACAATTACCTCTGGGCCTTTTGAGGAGGGTCACCAGGGACAGAGAAGGCAGAAAAAGTTGTCTAGGTATCCCAACCTCTCAGGGAAGAAACAGTAAGGTATCACTTCTCAAATGGTGGGGGGACCCCTCCAAATCCCGTCGATAGCTACAAGGTAGCTCGAGAATAGCCAATTGGGTCCAAAAGAGATGTCTAACAGCTTGATCCGTCGACAAATGAGAGCTTGTCACATTTTCGTCTTTTACCATGCTGCAGCAACGGCTAGCTGAAGGCCCTCATCGCTGATATGAGGTGATGTTGATGTTGTTGCGCGAACAGAGAGCGCCGATTTAGGCAACGGGTATGGGTCTTTGCCAGAGCACGCAATCGACGCCGAAATGTCACTTTGCGGGGCAAATGGCACCAAAGGAGGGGCAGGAAACCCAAAGACCCACACCGTGACCTGGAGAAGTTTGGCTCGGTTTGGTTGCCGGCCGAGGGTTCACCGAGTGCCTTGAGATGGGAGGTCCTGTGCTTCTTTTCCGACAGGACCTCGGTTTGAAGGTGAGATACTTATCTCTTGCTGACCGAGACTGACGAGGCAAGGCTGATATATGGAAAATTGAAACACTTTCTCGAATGCGCGTTGGCTCCGATGTGGGGATACTGGTGGTGTTTTGGGGGGATCACAAGACATCGTTGGCCGCCTCAAGGAACGGTTCCACCCCCGACAACCTCACCTCAACCGGGTCCCACGGCTCACAATGGCGGCCGCGGTTATCGGTCGTGGCCTCGTGAGACTCAGAGGTGAATTGTGGATAAATCCTTTGACAGGTCGAACCGTTTCCCGAAAACGGCTGTCGCTTCAAGAACAAAGCTCCAAGTAGTGGAAACGCACGATGATCTGTCAAACGGTTGTAGTTGGGAATATCAACCAACAACAGCAGTCAGTTTTTCTTTTTGGCAGGGCCAGGGAATGCAGGCCAGAGACCTTAATTACTGCGGTGTACAAAGAGTTTGGCTGACGACAGAAACATAACCCTAAAAATATCCGGTCAGACTCACTAGTGTGTTTACGTTACATGCCGTGGTAGGATGTAAATAACACAAGGAGGCTACTCGAATAGAATTTCAGAAAAGGGGCGGTCCTATTCGCGATGCTTTGGAGGGCATGAAAATGTTAATGAAACCAATAACAAGAAGTGCCGCTCGCCCAACTCAACCCCCCGATAATTGGCAGGTTGGCAAGGACGCCCAGTCAATGAATGCACCCCACCAGACTATCCACTCCACCACTCACGAATGTGTAGTGTGAATGGAATACAACGTAGCGCGGCAGCGTGTCCAATCGGACCAGAGACGTAACTATAGGCGCTGGCCACCCCGTTTGTCTCCTCTCTTATTCCGTGTTTTAGTTGTAGATCATTGTTCGAGGTTTCAAGCAATAGTATCGTACCAGAACGCAGCATCAACAATGCTAACAAGGTTCTCCTTGAGGGAATCATGAATATATTGTCACCCCACGTAAGACCAAGAAACTCCCTTTCTCAGCTTCAATGTCGAGTAGCACGTGACGGTAATGGGTGAACAAGACTAAGAGATTATGGGTAGGAAAGACTACAGACCGCAGCCTATAGAAAAGTAATAATACGGAGAGCGTCTACGTCCTTCTTGTAATGACCAACCCAAAACCGACTATATCCAATTCACGCACTTTTCCGGTATACCTGGCCAGTGTCAACCCAATGACATCAAACACATCCACTACTGTTCCTTCCCCAATTCCATTTCATGAACCAGTCATCTAGACGAGGTTCACATCACTAAATCCCGGGCCGTATATGCGTCTCTGGTCGAGTTCCCAGATGGATTTTCGTTCGCTCTTCCGGTCCCACAATGGCATCCGCTTAGCTCTGATCAGCTCCACCGATGCCTCACGTCTGCGCTCCTCGATTGCAACGTGGAAAGACTTGAAGGAGTCAGCGTAGCTTACGCAGACTCCTTCATTTGAGGAGGGGGGCCAGCGGCGCTGGGCTTGCGGAACCCCGTCTTGAAAACATCCTTGATCATGAGCAGGGAAGTGCCGGCCCAGAGGGAGAACTCGAGGGCGGCCAGAACGGTGTCGGCGCGGGCAGCAGCGCACACGGTGCCACGGCAGAAGAGGAGCTTGCTGAGGAAGACCGCGAGAGCGATGAAGCCGGCGAAATAGAAGAGAACGTTGAGGAGCTCGAAGGCAACAGCACCCCAGGGATGAGAAGCTAAGAGTGGTTTAGTTGCCTTGTTCGGCAAAGCCTCATTTTCTGGGTAGAGTGACTCACCCCTAGGAGCGAACTTGGGCACAAGCTCGAGGTAGGCAATCGAAATGAAAGACCACAGCGGGACAAAGACCAAGAAGTTGATCTGGGACGGGGATGAAGTCATCGTGTCCATGTTGTACCAGTTGGCAACTGCAAGCACACGGTCAGCACAAAGTTCTTCAACCCTAGCCACCGTGATTTGCCAAGTTCTCGATATTCCCATCACGTACCAAAGGCCGAGAGACCAAGGATGACCAACGCCAGAACGCCCTGGACAATTCGGAGAGGAAGAATAAGACCCATCTTATCGGTTTTCGTGATCGTTTCGTAAAAGTAGATTCGTGAGGTTCGTCAAGAGAATGAAGAAAAGAGTAAGGAGAGAAGGAATTGTATGGTAGATAAGTCTAAGCTGCCCCCAGTGCGCTGTTGAGAAGTGAAGAAGGAAGTTTGGCAAGAATAAGACGGTGGAACGGTCGAGCGGGAAAAGGTTCAAAGAAAAGGAGCCAGGGCATGAAAGAGGGGAAATCACTTTTGCTTTTGTATGGACTGGGCAGTCCCATATCTCCCTGTCTGAGTGTTTGAGAGGCGGAACATGTAGTCGCGGCTCTAGTCATCACTGGACACCCATGGGTCGGGTTGGTGCTGGGTGATGCACGGCCTTAGACCTCTGAAATGCATCTGAAACGGGACTCCCCTGGGCCGTCGCCATGCGCTATCCAGACGAGAAGATGGTGTGTAGCAGGGCCCCAGAAATTCCATGAACCAATCCCAGCACAAGATCAACAGAGCCTCCTCTTCATGCCGGCTCTCGGCTTGGCGCTGGCAGTAGTGCTGTCGTGTTTGGCTGGACGGCTTGGGATGTTGGTTACGTGGTAGCTTGAGGCTCTGTGCACCCTCTCCCTGGCGCTGGCCTCGTGGCATGCTCAAGGTACATCGAAGGGGTGACGTTTACAGTGAGCGGTTTTTGATGGAGACGCGCACACGCATCTGTCGGACGACAAGACGTGAACTGGGTTCCATGGGGGGAGTTGATCGGCGATACGACGCGAGTAGGAGGCAATGCTCTTTCAACTCTAGACATGAGTAAGAGCCCAAAAGAGAGCCTCGTCATGCAGGAACGGCGATTTTGGGCGAAGGCTTGGAACCGTGAAAGCCAAATTAACGTTGCATTGCTGCACCGATGCGAATTACCAGTAGAGACAAACCAGAGCCTTGCCTCACCCGACCTCATTAGGCCAGTTGTAATAGCGACGGGTGTGGGTGGGTTTGGAGACTTGAGGTGAAAGGCTGAAGCGAGATCTTCGGATTGAGGAACACAGCGCAGCGGAAATGTAGCGTGTCTGCGAATCTGCGTACTGGCGTGGTGCAGGTGCGCGAGTCTGCAGGCCAAAGGCTCCGGACTTGGAGGGTTTGAGGCTGAAGAGCAGCGAGTCTCAAGATGCCAAGCATGATTCGCCCGGGGCCCAGCATGTGTCACCGAACTTTCGAAGACGGGCCATCTCGTGTTGTGGGTGTTGAAACTAATTGGGACCAGAGTCACCTGACAGAACGCAGCAAGAAGACAGGTCATGACCCACGGTAATAAAAGAGCGGACGGAAGTTGGAGCTGGGCGTTGGCCAGACTTTGCCTGGCTTTGCTGGGTTGCTACTTTGGGTTCACATTTGCGACTACAAATACGAGGGTAATGAAAATTGGTGGAAACTACAAAGAAAAGGCAGATGGGAATACGGACACAGAAAAAAATGTCCGAACGTAATATCTTGTTTCCCCGCTACCAGGTCTACCCTTTCCTGCCTCCTTCGAGACCCTCAAGATTTCCATTTAGCGGGCGGCTTGTGGATTGCCATACCCCCTGTCAAGTCTGTTTGGGGCGGCCGGCAGGGAGAGAGAGCCAAGAGCAACGGCCTACTCTTGCCGCGACGTGCTTTGTGCCTACTGCTTAGTAAAGGCTGGCGAGTGCTCCTCTGAAGCACTTGAAGCAATCAGGAGAGGCCCAGAGGGATCATGGACGTTTTGCAAGCCAAGTACCCTGGAGGATCTACAACAGAAACGGGACAGCGGACGTTGCAACGCTAAGGGTGCCGCCCGAGTTTCTCAATGAGGACATTCAAAACAGCAGCAGCCAAGTACGAGGCACCCACGCTTGTCACGGCACTTGAGGGTGACAGTACATGCAGGCGCCACCTGGTGTGGACATCTGGGCTTCACGTATCATCCGCAGGGGCCTCCCGTCATCTACCGACGCGGGAAACCGGGGACATGCAGGCGAATGCAGGCGACTGCAGGCGACTGCATGCCCAAAGTCGTCGTCGTCGCTTCTTTCGTCCTCCCCTCCGCACCACACTTTGCTGTTCTTAAAAAAGCTGCTGAGACGCCGCACAACCTGCTCCCAGACTCAGTCCGATACTCAGAGTGCCAAGGATCCTCCATTGACACCTTAGATTCTTCACCTCTTGGCGTGCCCTTTTCCTGCAGCTTTCTGCTGACACATCTTCCCTCCTCTGTAGGGCCTTGCGCAATCTTTCTCACTGGATCATTCCGCCCCTCCCCCCAGCCTGTCCCACGACTAGTGTGACAGCAGCTGCCTCTGCCGACTTGGCCAGCCTCGAAACTGCTTCTCTACCTAAGCTTCGCCTCGCCAGCATGTCAGAAAGGCTTGAATTTTCTGGGCATTGAAACCCTCTGTTCATCCTTAACCCTGGATGCCGACTGTATGTAGTTCCCATGTAATATTGGCACTGGATCGGACGCTCTCCAGACTCTTGGCCGCCATCAGAGAGCCCATTTGTGCCACCCGTGGAGCCTCAACACAGCACCGAACTTCTTGGCAGAGCATATGGATTTCGCCTGATCACTACATCTGCACCAAAATTACCCTTCGCCTCATGAAAGGAAAACCCTCGACTCTGAGCTGCTCAGGACCGTGCTGTGTTAGTCTATCTGAACAACAAGATCCCGCTGGATTTCCGGAAATGGATTTCGCAGCCGGCTCTATCACTTGATCTGGATGTTCTTATTTCAATTGGAATATCTACAGAAGCGCATTTGCGCATTCATATGAGAAGAATCGAAAACCTTCCACGGAGCTCATACCCCGGTCACATGGTGCGGACCATTCAATGACATGATTGACACCAGCCTGGCCTCAATGCTTTCTGGCCGCGTCTTCCTCTCTTTGTCACGGGACCCTGACTCTTGCGTGTCTCTGAGACTATCAGAAGTTGCGGTCTGAAAAGAACAACTGGCCTACGCCGTGTCATGCCGAAGCCCATGCGAGTCATCCCAGGACTTGTGCCGCTGAAGCATGTAATCGGTACCCGAGCATCGGACGTGATCCAAAACATAGACACTTGTTTTGTGTTTCTCTAGTTCCGCCAGAGCCGTTTTCTGTATGATCAGTTTCTTCTCACACGTAACACGTCAAAGCTGTCGTCAGCCTGACTACCCTCAGCCGATGTATGCCATTCAGCTGTCAGCCGGAAATACCATTTTCAGGCTACGTTGATGTTGATGTTGATGTTAGGGGGAACACCCTATACCAGCATCATGAGGCTCGGTTGCCAGAACCTTGTATCCTGCGCTACCTTCCGCTTCGTCGCCTTGCTGGCAACGTTGGCCTACGACGTGCAATATGCTTTTGCGCCTGGACTCGGTAAGCTACCACGTCTACCAGAGTTTGCATGTCTTCATCGCAGGAAAACTCAAAGACGAACTTTCGAAACTAATGAAAGGCAAACCAAGGCTTAGCCAGCTCTGTGTTGACAAGATCTTGGACAGGAAATTGGCATTACATGCTCAGCTTGGCCGAGCACTTCCGAATTCACCGTTTGCTGTCCGTCCAACAGGGAACCGGAAGCTCGCGCGGATAAAATGCTGGCAGAACTTCGGCATCTTGTCTTTGCGACTTTGACTCTCCGCTGATGTGGCGTCAAAGGCGGGCAGACTCGTAGCAGGTGGGACCCGGACTTGTTCGGCCCTTTCGGGTACGGGTGTCCAATGACCTCCGCCCCCAGAGTAAGACAGAGGTTCCACGCCCGGACCGGAGAGTCCAACTCTGGCATGTGACAAATCTGGCTAGTCATATTCGTGTAGAGACTTTTCGTCTTCTCAGAGAGTACACGAATAGGAAATTACAACGACAGGTTGACATAGCTGGCAATGAAGTACAGCAGTTATATCAAATTCATATCCATGGTTGAAGACGATGGCCTCCCGAAGCATTGGATTTCGATTGGTATTCACAATTCAAAGCTCAAGGGAAGTGATGAACGACAGCTCCGTAGTCGGCTGGGATCTGCCTGTGAAGAGTGGATGGTTGATGACTGATTCCCGTTTGCTGGGGGATTGCACCAAGCCTCCCACTTGTGCATAACCCCGTTAACATGTCACCACAGTTTTAAAGCTTCTGAACTTTGGAACAGGGGGATGTCGCAACTTCAAGCCTGGTCAGATATCGAGAGCCTGGTGTAACTCACATGCTCGTCATATTTATTACTCAAAATACTGCCAAGGTGTCGCGAGCGCTTGGCGTTCACTCACTTTAAATGCATGGCCATACGGCCAACAGCAGACGCATTCCTCCACGTGGACACTTTTCGGTGAGGTCATGACGGGAACCACGGGGTAACCTTCCCCGTTTTTTTGCGAATCTCCGACCCAGAACCCCCAGCTTCAGCTCCGCGGCCAACCCCCCAGCGCCCCCGCAAGCCACTGAGTCCGGCGTCCCCCCTTGGCGAGTCCCCTGGAGCCTATCAGCGCCCGTCAACAGCCGTGGTGCTCTCTTAGCGCACTCACCATCTGGGGTTGCCGAGGACCTTGAGTGGCACCCTCGCCATTCTGAGCACTTCTGCGGTTGTGCCTCGGCCTACGCTCCAAAACTCGGCCTCGCTCATTGGATCGTCTCCCCGTTTCCTGCACCTTCAAGGCTAAGCAGCGACGACCGAGTCCCCCGTACGAAGTAGCTACGACGCGCACCTGGCTCGAGTTGTAGCTAAACCGTGAACAAGAACTGACAGCCCCCCCTTCCGTTTTCCTAAATCTCCTCGGACTGCTTGGTTCTGTTTACTTCATTTTCTTTTTAAATCCTTTTTCGTCCCGACACATATATACCACCTCTACCTCTACCATCCCATATTTCTCATACATCTCGTCTCAGGGCTCCCAGCGTCAAGTATTGCTCATTCGCGCCACATCTGCACCGTCGCCCCCAAACGAATTAGCAGCGAGATCTGGGTAGATCGCCCGTCAGCGACGCAACCAACAGTCCCCGGCTGCCAGCACTCCCCCACAGATTCTCGCTGTCGCTGCGAACATGGCTCCCACAAAAGACACCGCCGCATACATACAGGAGCTGGCCAACCCGCCGCCTCCTGGCTCGCCCTATGGAGTTCCGATTCCAGGCTCCGAGAAGGAAGGCCGCAGTGCCATTTACCGCCATTGGCGCTTCCGCGACGGTCCTCTGCTGTCCACATTTGATCCCGCCGTCCAGACCGTCCACGACCTGTTTGAGGAGGCCACCAAGAAGCGACCCAACGCGAAGTGCTTGGGTCACCGAGGATGGAACCCGGCGACCAAGGACTGGGAGAATAAGTACACCTGGGCTACCTATGCCGAGGTTGCCGAGCGTCGCAAGAACTTCGGCGCCGGCCTGATCGAGATTCACCACAAAGTTGGCATCACCAGTGACAACTACGGTGTCGGTCTGTGGTCGCAAAATCGTCCCGAGTGGCACATTGCTGGTAGGTTGGCCGTCACATGCCAAGTAGGAGGCCCTGACCGCATACTGACTCGAAGAAATTAGATCTTGGTGCTGCATCCCAATCTCTCTTCACAGTCTCTCTCTACGAGACGCTCGGCCCCGACACGACCGAATACATTATCAACCACGCCAATTTGGCCTGCGTAGTTACCTCGTTGCCGCACATCCCTGTCCTGCTGAAGCTTGCCCCACGCCTTCCATCCCTCAAGCTCATCGTGTGTCTTGACTCCCTGGATGACGGCGAGCAGGCTGGCTACTCCAAGCTGTCCGTTCTGAACGGCATCGCTTCCCAACATGGCATTCAGATCTACTCCATGGCTGGCGTAGAGGAGCTCGGTCTCAAGTCCGGTCGTCCTATGCGTCCCCCACGCTCGACAGACTATGTCACCATCAACTACACCTCTGGAACTACCGGTATGCCCAAGGGTGTCGTCCTCACCCACGGTAATGCCGTCGCTGGCCTCACCGCTGCGAGATCCGCCGGCACCGTCACTTACAAGGACGTGCACATCTCTTATCTGCCCCTGGCTCACATCTACGGAAGAATGGTGGACCAAACTGCCCTGGCCGAAGGCGCTTCCATCGGTTTCTTCCGTGGCGATATTGTTGGACTGGTTGACGACATGAAGATTCTCGAACCCACAGGGTTCATGTCTGTTCCCCGACTGTATAACCGCTTCAACTCAGCCATCCGAACTGCCACGATCGAGGCTGATGGTGTCAAGGGATCCCTGTCCCGCCAGGTTGTCAGTACCAAGAAGGCCAACATGAAGCAGCCGGTTGGCAAGGCAAGCAATTCTCACTTCTTATACGACAGAATCTGGACCCCCAAGGTTCGCGCTGCTGTCGGCCTCAAGAAGGCACACAGCATGATCAGCGGTAGCGCTCAGTTGGACCCTGACGTTCACGAGTTCTTGCGCGCAGCTTTCGGAAATCATTTCGTGCAGGGATACGGCCTGACGGAGACGTACGCCGTCTCGACTGTTCAGTTGAAGGGCGACTTTACCCTGGGTAACATTGGACCGCCAGCCTCATGCAACGAGATCTGCCTGGAATCAGTTCCCGACTTCGACTATTTTGTCACAGACAAGCCATATCCCCGTGGTGAGATTCTCCTCCGTGGCCCCAGCATCTTCAAGGAGTACTACAAAAATGAGGAGGAGACAAGTAAAGCCCTTGATGCCGATGGTTGGTTCCATACTGGAGATATTGCCGAGGTCGACAACATGGGTCGGTTCAAGATCGTTGATCGCAAGAAGAATGTGCTCAAGCTGTCGCAAGGAGAGTACATCTCCCCCGAGCGCATCGAAAATGTGTACTTGGGTAGCTGCAGCCTGCTGGCCATGGCATACGTCCACGGTGATCCAGCTCAGTCATCACTCGTTGCTGTCTTTGGTGTCGATCCCGAGAACTTTGCACCATTTGCAAGCAAGATCTTGAAGAAGACCATCGACAAAACCGACGTCGCAGCACTCAAGGCAGCTGGCGCCGACCCGAAAGTCAGGAAGGCGCTGCTTGCAGAGCTTGACAAAATTGGCCGGAAACACAAGTTCAACAGCTACGAGCGTGTGCGCAGTGTTTACCTCACCATCGACCCATTCAGCATCGAGAACGAGCTACTGACGCCTACGTAAGTGAACACCATAGAAACTAAGCACGAATCTTCGCTAACTTGTCACGAACAGTCTGAAGTTGAAGAGACCACAAACCGCAAAGGCGTTCAGGGCTCAAATCGACCAGATGTACGAAGAGGTCAACGCGGAGCCAACGGCCAAGGCCAAGCTTTAGAGGGCTTCGGTGAGAGGATTGGCGTTGGTTGATGTCGTTTTACACGTAGGCGGGCAATACTGTACTATAGAAGATGATCTGTTGGCTTTCTAGAGTTTCAAGTTCACTATATATTGAGAAAATGCAGAAAAATGCGTAAAACTGCTATAGTAAAGATTTTTTTATCGAGAACTTTTTTCATGCGAACTCATACTTTATGTGCTGCTTTAACGCATATGTTTGATTATAGAGTTATTCAATTAAGTCGGTTTTCCTTTACTTCAGAAGGCACTTGAAAAAGGAAAAGAGGACAAGAGGAAAAGAGAACGCTTGTGCACGTAGGAAAACAACGCCCATATCTGACCCGGCTGTGAAGTGAGATTTAGAACCTTAGTGATCAAGACAATCTTACGCGTAATACTTCTCGTTGGCACCTAGGTTCGCAACCGACTATATTGAACTACCATGAGCATTTCTTAGCTTATACCATAAGCCCATTGACATATTGAACACCTCCGATGTGAGCCCGGAGTGACGTCGCACAATTGGCAGCTGCGGGGCCGAAACTCTCCGAAGCCAAAAGCGCTCTCCCGCTGGCAAGCGATGGGATGGAGGGACTTTTCAATTTAATCGTTTTCTTTAGCCATTCAATTGGCCATTCTGCCAGCGCGTTTAGACTTTTCCACTTGAGCACCAGCCGTTCACGCCAGATGCGATGGCTGAGTGACGCGGTATCTTTACCACCCCCCCACCCCCCACCCCCCACCAACTACCTCGGGACAGTGTCCATGATACGCAAGGGGCGCGTTGGATATCAGGTCATTTTGCTCATCCTATAAGAAACATCCTACGCGACGTTCAATGTGGGCATGCGCTAAGTTGTTCTAGACCAAGTCTTTGGTCTTTTCGGATATTTCCTAGCTTTAAAAGGAATCAAATTGTTTCGCTGGGGTTTGGGGATCATGGTTTGCAAAAGCCCAAGGAGTTTAATACGTTACTCAAAAGACGCGAGGTTTCCGTGTTAATGAGCAAAGAACGACTTAGAGCCATTGCAAATACTTACTTCCTTTTCAAGATGTCTGTAAAGCCATTCCACGTATTAAAAACAAGGTGATTAGTTAATAAAACCAGTTTATTAATTTTGAATGATTTGTGAATCATTATTAAAACACGATTTAAATATACTAAAACTTCGGTTAACTATTGCTTTGATTTAAATTATCATGAAGCGGCGGCTTATTTGAAAAATATATAAATAAATAGTTATAAAAATTACTCGCGTTTTACGGTTTAATTATTAAAAGACGAAACTAAATATTATATAAGATAATTACATAAGACTGTTCAGACATTCAGAAACCTTTCAAACCTCAGGAAGATATGTGGACCCACTTTTCCTATCACTTCCACCTGATCCACTTCTGTTGGCTCCGGTTATAGCACCCTTTATCCTAATTAACTGTGACTTGACGAACTTCGAGTCCGAAGAAGATCAATTTACGCGCGCTAGCGAAACCTTCCCTCGGCCAACGCGTCCATGTCCTCAGAGGAGCGCAATTATGTTTGCGACTCCGCAAGGAACGACAAATCCCACGTCAACGTTGATTGATTTGACAATCAAGGAGCCCGCCGACTTCATCGACCTCACCCTCGACGACGATACTCCACCGGGCAGCCCACGCCCTGAGCAGACCGAACCGCCTCGGAAGAGGCAGCGACGAGACGATGGTGGCTTCCCGCCTGATCGCAACCCGCGGGAACTCATCGCTAGCTTAAATGCGCAGGTTAAGCCATATGTTGATGTGGCGCTGGCCTGTTTCCCAGCGGATAAGTTCAAGGTCACACAAATCGCCCAAGAGGTAAGTAGACGCACTCTCAGAATATCGTCCTTTCCCCTGAAGCGCACTCCTAACACTGAGGCTACAGGTGATGAGCGATCTTCTCCGCAACGCGCAAAATTTCCCCGGGTTTAATCCAACTCGAAACGGAAGCCTCCTCCCTCAAAGTCTGGTCGTCGAGCTAGCAAAGCAGGCCCGTAATCTGGTACAAGCATATCGCATGCAACCTGTAAGACCCAGCCTTCACATGCGCTCCAAACGGCAGACGCGAGCTGTAGCTGACTTGCTTCAGAAATATCAGATCGAGCCTCCACCCACCTACAAACCAGCACCGCGCGGCCCGCGTCGCCACTTATCTCACAGCTCCTTCGCCATCCCCATACCCTTGCTCCCGAACGGTTTCCCGGCGAACCGCAGCAGACTGGCTGCTCCTTCTCGAACCCCCTCGACCCCAAAGAGGCCACCATCGCGGCCGGCAACGACGCATCCTCAAACGAAGCCTCAATCACAGGCCGTAGAACCCCCGAACGTCACCGTTTCGTCGACAAATTACAGAACGAGGGCGAAAGCCAGGTCTTTCAAGTCATGGAAGGCGCACGATTTACAAGCCAAGGCCGCAACGACTCCAGGCCGCAAGGCCAAAGTGGCCTGGATGAATATGCCGCGGCGGCCGTACCTCACAACTGAAGAGCGTGGAACGATTCTTCGCGGTACCTCCAAGCTTGTTCGAACCGTACCCGCGGCTGCGGCGCTGGGCCCACTCCCCTTCCACGTCGACTTCACCCCAGACGAGATGGATGACGTGCGGAGAACAGTGCGGGCCATGTGTGACAAGAAGGTCAAAAACAAACGAAGAAGCGATGCGGATAGAGAGCTAGGCAAGATGCTGAGAAAGCGGCCTGACTTACTCACGGACATACCGCCCAAGATTGAGCTCAAGGGAACGCTTGTGCAGCGAGATCATGTAGCGATCCGGAACTTCCTCGACGAGCTGGCCAATCGGCACAAGAGGCCGGCTCGGTATCCAAAGGTGCTGACGTTGGAAGTGGACGAGTCTGACAAACAAGGCGAGGCACAGCGCACTAGTCAAATATCTGCGCTCCTGTTGGCGCGAGAAATCGACGGCAACCGAGGCTTTGGCCGGATGCGTCGCCACATCAACTTCACCGATGAGTTTAGGAAAGCACACGAAGACGATCTGGAGATGCGAGCAGAGTGGGTGGGCTGCGCCGGTGACATTATGACAATGGTCTGGACTTCGGATACCAATGTCATCTGCGGTGCCACAGCCCATTCCGATTCCCACAACCAGCAGTACAACAAGCCCGGCAACCTTCTGCTTTGTTCAACGACACTGGGTCAGCTTAAGGCGTTTCCTGATCACAGGATCCCACGGCCCATCGTTGAGAAGGGCGAGAATTCAACAGAGGCAATGAGGCAGAGCCAGAGTCCTTGGCTCTACTCTTCTGTCGTGTCTTCCGACTATGATCGCATCAACGACCGTGCCTACACATCGAGTTTCGACAAAACTGTCAAGGTCTGGAAGGTCGACGATACAGGAGCAAAGATGGAGGCATTGGGCACTTGGGCCCACATGGGCAACGTCAACTTTGTGGTTGTTTCTAAGCATGAATCTGGCATGGTAGCTACCGCTGCTGATGTGCCCACTCAGGCTGTCCGAGTCTACCGCGTTGATAACGACAACGTGTCCCAAAGCCCCTACCAGGTATTCACAGGCGCCAGAGCTTGGGATGAAGGCGATGAGAAGACAACGGCAACCCAGAAATGGGCGTACTTCCCTGCCACGATGCAGTGGGGTTTAGCTCAAGGCGTGCAACACTTCCTCCTCGTTGGCTACTCTCCCCGCAGCTTCACCGGGGACGATAACGACATTCCGGTTGAGAAGAAGAATACAGGCGAGATATGCCTTTGGAACTGCCTTACAGGCGAAAAGATCAAGGTCATGACGGCATCTACACAGAACGTCTTTGAGGTGGTTTGGCATCCTACCCTGCCAAGCTTCATCGTGGCAACATCGCCGGCCGGCTTGATGGTGGACGACAAGACTCTGACTCAGATTCGGATCTTCCGGCCTAGCTTGACACCCGAAGGGGAGACTGCTTTCAGCGAGATGCAGTGCCTGGACTGCCCAGCAAAGGATATTAACGAGCTTACCATCAAGCCCAATAGCGTCCTCTGCTCATATGTGACTGCGGCTTGTACCGATGGCAAAGTCTACATTTGGGACACCTCGCGAGGCGACAAACCTATTCACGCTTTACGGCATAAGAAGCCAATCGATGATTTCTACGGAGATCGAGAAGAAGCGGACGTGGGTGTCAAATTTACGGCCTGGGGAACCACGGCGGACCGGTTCTATACAGGCGGATCAGACGGAGTAGTCAAGGTGTGGAACGTACGCAACCTGCGGCAGCCCCTAGTCCGGGACCTTTTGGAAGCTCCTGGAGCTATAGCATGCGGAGCTTTCTCCCCATGCTACTCGAGGCTAGTTATTGGAGACGCCAGTGGTCGAGTGATGCTCCTATCGTTGAACAAGGAGGACGAGCCTCCAGCGAAGTTCGTCCTCCCTCCGATAGCACCAGGCATGAGACCTTATCGTCCTGTACGCCGTCCGATACCGATCATCGAGCATGCCGATCCCCCGGCACCAACTCAGAATCAAGAAGAGCCTAGAACGGGAGTTGAAAGGGGACAAAAAATGCTCTCTACGAGTCAGCTCATCCGTCACCCTGATGCCACAGTCGGCGTCATCCAGGGGCCGGCGTATTCCACCCTAGGCCTCTACTGCCCCAGATCCCATTTTGAGGGCGATATATCGCAACCTTTGTTGGCTAAAGTCGAAGAGGAACAGCAGGAGAACCAGAAGAAGTTTCGTCGCAAGTCGCTGAGGGTCGCCCGCCTCCGGCCGCTCGATGACGTGGGATCGGCCGTCCTGCATGTTCGGCATTTGAAAAACGTGGCGAGGGACTTGGATCTGCATAGGCTTGACGATATGACCAAGCTCGACCTGCTCATGGATCAAGTCAACATTGATGACCCTATTTACGATGAGGGTTGGGATTTCGAACATGAGGAAGTCGACCTAGATAAAAGCATCTGGGCTACGCTCTCAAAGTGAATAAGAGGAAGAAGAAGAGGATACGTTTCAGAAGAGGGCTGATATAGCCTTTGTTTGATATGAGCTTACTTTGGTAGCTTATGGTCCTTGTAGGCTGAGAGGACGTAGATAAATCCATTAGATGAATACCAAGACTGACGACCTTAAACTAACACTAAACTCGCGTAGGAAAACCTCAGCCTTCTCATTTTCCTCATAATGGGATTGCTGATAAAAACTATTAACTACAGTTACTAGATAGGCGATGTACCTAGGTCTTGAAGTTAAAAGGAAAGGCTTTCTTATTATTTCTTTAATAAAATTAGGAAAATATATCGACTACTAAGCTAATAAGCCTTTATAGTACCCAAATAATACTAAACATAGCTTAGAAAGGATTATTCCTTAGATTAAGAATTGCTTAAAAACACAAAAAAAGAGTTTGTCGAATACAATTTGTACAATCACTAGATATAATTTTATCGCAGGTCGCTTTAGTTTAGATTCGAGCGAGCGTGCTATTGTGACGTTTATAAAAGGACTTTGCGCAGCTTAATCGCATTTCGCAGTCTAAGGTAGGAGATATCAGCAGCCCTGGCTCCTCAACTAGCCTGGTCCTTTACCTAACTATCCCACCACAGTGGCGATCTTCCTATCATTATCGAGTTGTAAGATAGGGTCGAACGGAAGTAGTTACTCTCTACCTTGGTCTCTACTTTCGAGTCGTAGTTGAGACGAGATTTGGGGTCTCCGTTAAGATAATCACATTCGCTATATAATACCCTCTCCAGATCTCTTAGATGTCTAGATAGGACGCAGTTTCGAATCAATTCGATGCTTAAATGCGTAGATAGTGTGCATCGATCTAGGCGTCGAAAGCTGCTAGTGTTAGATGTAAACTGCCTTAATGATGTATGTCTTTTACTTATGTTAGACAGCTGTGTTGTGTAAACAACTGCCGTCTATATTATACTGCCCTAACCCCCCCCCCTTTCCCTCCTCGCGTCGCATGTTCTATAGCGAATACTAAGGAAGTGACGGAATGTCTTTTCAAGATACACAAACTGCCTCGTGGCAATAGAGGATGTAAAGCACATCTACACCGACCAGGCATCATCGTCATTGCACAAAATGTATTCAGTACCAGCAATGACGTACTCAGAGACCCGAGACAATTACTTCACTGACCCTTCTTTCTTTTGTGAGACCAGAATCACGGTTACGTATGATTCCAGCTGGCTTCGCTCCTGCTTGGGCATCAAGGTCATTGCCCTCCTCTAGAGGAGAGCCAAACAACTGTGCTATTATTGTACACTGATGCCCATCATTATTTTACTTGCCGTACAGTCCGCATTCCCACACGCCTTTCCAAGTTCCAACGGACTGCCCATTAGCCTGTGTGTCAAGCTAGGCTCTAGTAGGGAAAGCCCCGACGAGAAATTCGAGTTATCAGACATCAGGAGAGGGCGCACCGGGGCAAGTTAGGCCTGACAAGCACCATGTTACCCAATTTCAGGCATCTTTACACAGGTTTCCCTCTTGCAGCACTCCGTGCAACGAACGCTTTGAGTTTCAGTTGCATGTGTTGTACCTAGTATCCCCAGTGCACCGAGTTGATTCCTTCACTGTTAACTGGTGGTCAAATCAGGGGGTTCAGGCTTTTCTTTGCATCAATAATCATATGGGCAATTGTGTTACTTACAGAAAACGAAAATGTAGTCCAGATCATCACGACATCACCAAGCTGCACGGGATCAGATTTAGACTCATAAAGTCCATTTCTTTTACGTTACAAAGGGGGTTCGAGTGAAGTGACCTTACAACCAAGAACCAGTTTACCAACCCTTCAGCCCAAAAGCCAGCATAATTGCGATGGCATCATAGTGCGTGGGTATCGAAAACGAGTCCTGATCCAACCCCTTCCTCTCCAAACGAGCTCAGTACTTTTGATGTGGGTATTTCCTTTTCCCTTATATCCTTGCCTCCTTTCCCATATGAACGCCGGGCTAATGCGCATCCATGATTATGACAGGCCAAAGCCAAAGCTCGCGAGGTCCAAAAGACGTCGAAATACAGAGCAAATCCAGTGTCCCTTCCATATACAACGGTTACGGATCTGAGAGGTCGCGGAGGAGAAGATTAGTTATCCTTGGCGGCCGGGAATGCGAAGCCGGGAGGGTACGCCGGCATGCCGTTGGGCAAGGTGCCGATACCGTAGGGGAACTGCTGCGGAAGCGGCTGGGAATTGGCGGAAGAGAACTTCTTGTCGTCGCGGCGGTGATCACGGTCACGGCTACGGCGCCAGCGACCGAGGTCCTCGCGGCTGTCGTCACGTCCACCGCCACGAGTGGAACGAGGTCCATGGTTACCGCTCTTGTCCGTCTGCATGCGGCGGCTAATGGCCTTGGAGGAAACACCGTTGCCAATCTCGATATCGGGCTCCTCAACGACCATGCCCTCCTCGATGGGCCGACCGCCACTACCTCCATACTCGGCAGTCAACATCCACTTGCGGTCAGCCTCGGTCAGCTTGTTGATGGGGATGACGCTAACGCCAGTACGGTAGTCACTGCAGTCGCGCGGACCAAAACCAACGCCCCAGCGGGTCTAAATTGTGTTAGTTGAGAAGAGTGGTGAACAGTGGGCTAGCAAGACTTACTCTCAGCTGCGCCTCATCATCATTCTGGGGCATGTTTCCATTGGCACGCATCTCCATACCATCCTTGGCATGGACAGCATCCTCCCGGGAGACCATCTTGACGAAAGCATGTCGCTTGTCCTTGTTCACGATGCAAGTCTGGACCTGACCAAATCGACTGAAAATAGCTCGAAGCTCGTGCTCAGATTGGCTACAGAGATTATCAGTCAACGTCCCGATGAGTAAAAGTGCCCTTATTCCGGCTATACTTACTTGACACCGCCGACGAACAGCGTGCGGCTCAGAACCTTGATGTGGCCGGACTTCAGATTACGATCATAGTCGACCCACTTGTCGTCCGAGCCGCGGCGAGAGTCACCATGGCCACCGCGAGCAGCACTGTGGCTCCCATGCGGGCTACGCTGACGGTAGTCGCTGCCATATCGGCCCTCTCTACTATTACGACGGTCTCGATCGGGGGAGCGACGTCCATGGTCGAAGCCATTGTCACGACCGCGAGAAGAGCCGCCAGAGTTCCAGCGGCGACCGGGCGATCTGGACCGGGACCGGCCTTGATATCTGTTAGGGGATCGAACGCCATCGTTGTAGCGAGATTGTTCACTGTTGCCGCTGGGCTGAACGGGACCGCCCCATCCCTGACCGTTGGTATAGTAGCTCTGAGACGCGATGGGGGCTTGGGCAGATGTGGTCGAGGGCGTGGGGGCAGTGAGTCCCGCAAAAGCAGCGCCATTCTGGTTGCTCACGGCCGCAAGCGCGGCAGTAATTTGATCCGCGGTAAGCCCTGAATTGGCAAACATCTGGATCAAAGCCATCTGTTGGGCATTGACCTGTGGAAGCTGAGGCACAGCTCCCGGGAACGGCTGTCCGACAGGAGGAGCCTGGTTTTGGCCTTGAGTATATGCGTACGGAGCCGCTGGGTTAGGGGTTCCACCAGGGAAAGGAGGAACGGAGTACGGAGCTTGATGGAGCTGGTTGACGGGAGGCATAGGAGGCGGCGGCTGCTGCTGCTGATGAGGCGTGGAACTTTGGAGTCTAGAGAGCAAGTCTTGCAAGTTCTGGGGCACTGCCGGGGTCTGAGTCTGAGTTGGGACGGGAGACTGTACGTTGCGTTGAGGCTGGCTGTAAGCAGCTTGAGTGTGGTTATTGCCCTGGCCCTGGTTGTAATTGTGACCCTGGTCGAAGTTCTGGCCATGTCCGTTATTCTGACTCTGCGCGCCATGCTGCGGCTGAATGTAGCCCTGTGTCTGAGGATCATTCTGGCTCTGGACGGACTGAGTAAGCTTGGCCAGATTGGCGATGATGCTGTTAGCATCAGCAGCCGGGGCTTGAGCAGAGGGGGCAGCCACTGGATTGGATCTGTAGCCCATGGCCTCGACCAAGCCTGGTGGGGGACTACCCTCAGGCGTGTAGGACTGAACTGAACGGGCAAAGGAGTCAGCATGACATGAACCTATACTTGAACAACGGGATCGATAGAGGCTGTTGGTTATCTGGCAGGATGACATACTCGGGTCAGGCGAAGATTCAATCTTCTGGTGGAAATCCTCGAGGACGTCAGGAGAGAAAGTTTGGACTCTACGCCATATCTCGAGCAACTTAAGCAATTTCTCCTACACAAATGGAAACAGTGTAAGCAGTTTGTCATCAGTGTCAACGGTGAGCAAAGAGAACATAGACGCTCATCAACGTGTCTAGATGAGTCTCAAACGTCCATCCTTACATTCTCCAGTGTGAGAAAGGTGAAAGGATGAAGGATGAAAGGCATCCCAATCAACGTCGAAATCATCACGAGAAGTGCGACTACAAAACATTGTAGTGGAGGGTGCTTCAAAGCTGCAACTTTTGATGCGTACCTTTTGGCCTTCAAGGCGCAACTGTACCAGGTCACTGATGAGGGTGTGCATGAGGCCAGTGATTCGGTGACAACCAGCGCCAAAGCTTCCATCATCGGCAGAACCATCAACGGGTTGGCCGTGCAGTTTAGCTCTGTCAAGCCACTTGCGCATCACAGAGTCTATCACATAGAGGACTCCAAGCTTGTATGGGGCAGAAAACTTCTTGAACGTGGTATACAACTTCTGGATGAGGACCGACTCATTCTACAGAGAAAGTTCAGAGGTTAGTCTAGGTACTTCTTCACTAGGCAGTGAGATGAGACGCTGCGTTCAATACCATATCGTACCTTGATGTTGTCGACACAGATTGTAGTTATGGTAGCAATGCGATTTCCGGTGACACCAGGCGCCTTATAATTCTGCATGGGTTCGAGGGCGGCTTCTAGCTCCGCCACAGCGGCGGCAGCAGAAGTCGGGGCAGCCATTCTGCAGGGCGACGAGCAACTATGGCGATGGCGACTGTGGTGTTTTCTTCAGGAATGTGTCTGGTAGCGAAGTACGATTGGGAAGTGGTTTGTATGGTGGAGGTGGGCAGGCGCTCTCAGCAAAACAGACGAAGTGCCAGCAGCTAAGGATATGCGACCTGCAATAAGGGTTGCTCAGAAGGAGGTTTACTGGGAGCGCAAGTAGGTACGCGACGTCCAGAAAGTGGAAGAAGTCAACAAGAGAAGGCGCCACACTCTTTCCTAGAGTAAAATCAGGCAGGTACGGCCCGGTCGCTCCTTCCCTCAATCAACAACTTTTGTGTGTATTTTGTTTTACAGAACGCGCAGGCAGAAATATCCCAATATGTCGCGGGCCAGCACTCTAAAGGTACGAATGGATCGAGTTCCTGAATTGGTTGACTCTCTACTTTGTACGGACAGAGCGTGCGACGCCTTTTGACGAGTCGTCCAAGGAGGTCACAGAGGAGATTTTCAAGTGGCAGGAGCCGTCGACGGTCTACTACTTGATTTGATTTCACCCACGGTCGGACATTTGCGGTCCTCGAAGGAGGAATACGATGTTCGTCAGTGTACGATGATAATCTCGATGAATACAGTAATCCTAGGCCTCGGACGGGATGGGCGTGATGCAGCGTCGCGCTGGAGGTTCGTCAGTTTTTTTTGGGGGGGGGGAGGGAGTGTGGTGGTTGGAAAAGAAGAGATACGCAAGTGGGGATGGGATGGAAGCTGGGACATGTTTGGAGACAGCGCTGGAGGCTTGCGGGACCTCAGAATTGCGGCGGGCGGTAGCACATGGCAGGTGTGCTCGTGATTTCGGCTTTAGTTTTGGGAACCAAAGCGCCAATCAAATGATGGGCATCTTGGTCATCAAGTCATCAGTCGCAGGAGCTCACGTCGTCTGCTGCTCAAGCCTCTTTCAGCCTAAGGCCAAAAGGTGACATACTGAGGCATCAACTTTTTACTGACTAGCAGATTCTCGAAGCGAGATGATGGTTCCACCACCGAGCTTCTACCGAGACGTGGAATATGGATTTCACAGGAGCACTGGTGGTGAGCTCGCCGGACTAGCATAGGGTAAGAGAGGTCTGTTTAGCACAGTCGTCTTAGTTGCGCCAATATGGAAATAACAGGGGATGCTTTGGAGTTCAGCGCTTGGATTGACCTACTATGTAGATTGGCCAGAGCTCCTTTCCACTTTGGCGTCGCCGGGCCGGACATCATCGGGGCGAGTAAAGGTCTTTGTTGACATCCACACTCAGTCTCTTATTGTTCTCATCCAGATTCGTCCACGGACAATACCCACCTGATTAATTATCTGGACCAGGTGTGCTACCTAGTTCCCCAGCAACACGGCTCTTTCGCTGGTAGCCGGACTTGTCTGCAGGCCATTGCGAAACTACTTTGCTTTTCATCGGCTGCACTCAAGAGTAAAGCGTGGTAGACTCCTGCGCAATGGCCATCACTACCCATTCATATACAATGAATACGACCGTAGCAAGATCACCTAATAGCCAGAATAAGGTACATGGCCGCACCATCTTCTTTTGCTGTTGGCGAACGGAAGCCTCGCCCTGCTGTACGTGACCGGTAAGAGTAGGTAGCCTCGGATGAGGCGGTCGAGCTGTGCCATGGTTGGAAGCGCGCTCCCAGACAGGCAGGAGGGTCGAATATGCAGCTTCAATTGGTCCAACGCCACACCTGCGGCGGGCTACGAAGCCTCGGAGCTGACGGGAGATGCGCGAGACAGGGCTCGGAGGAGAACAATCACTCACATCAAGTCCTCCGTTGACTTTGGTTCCGTGCGGATACTTGCCAATGCCACGGGAGCAGGCGCTGAGTCCGGACTTGCTCTTTCACGAAGGTTGAATCTGGGTAGCGCGGACACGTGGGGGTCGGGCCGCAGTCCCAAGTGCCCGGGTGCGCGTTCATTCTCAAATCCATCCTTCATCTAGTCTCACCGTGAGGCGCATTGTCCTTGGCTACCTACCTACGAAGTCAAGGCTGCAATGTTGTGTTCAACCGATACTTGGACTTTGGCTTCCGACCTTCGGACGAAGAGCGGGTACTCCGAGAGAAGCCGCCCAGATATCCACTCGTCTCGGCTTTTCGCGCGCAAGAACGGGGCGTTTTGATACGGGAGTTTAAACTGGAGACTGGAGCAGCGCCAAAACTGGAGTGCGCGGTGCAGATTTTCCGGTGGGGCCGATGAAGGACACTACGTGAAAAGACGGAGACAAGTTCAGGGAGATTGAGATCCCAAGATTGACAGGACAGATTGATTGGAGTCGCGACTGGGGGACACGGGGGACACGGGGGACACCTGTACATTGCAGCGGGTACGTATCTTTTCGCGCCTGCTCGCCTCGCCCGGCCTTTGATTCTCCCTCGTGGCTCGCAGAGAGTCTTGACCTCAGGTATCAAGGGTGTAGAGGTCGGCCGCTACCGCAATTGCACCCTACCTGAGTAAGGCAACAACGTGAAGAAGCAAGGCAAGGCAAGGTAGCTTCTTGGGAAGGTAGGTCAACGGAGTGCCGGACGGCGGCTGAGCCTCTCAATCAATTCCTGTACGCCGTCGCAAATTGAGCGCTATGGCGCGTTGAATACCTCGGGGGATGGCCTCGACCTGCATCGGGGCAGCTTGAGAGCTCAAGGAAAAATTCCACTGTTGGACCGACGTTGGGGGCGCACTGCAGAGCAACCGGGTGTGTAGGGTGGCAGATGTACCTGCAGCGCCAAAACATTTAGCGTCGATACCTCACCCTGCCCGAGAGACAACCCGTATGCCTGCTGAGGTACATTGGTATTTCCGGCCACACCTGTGACGTGACCCCCCGAGGGCGGCCCCCCGGTCCAAGAGCGCCTTTGCTTCATATTTTTTTTCTATCCTATTACCTGCGGCTTTTTTCTTTCCAACCTTTCCGACCTTCATTCTTCACCAGTCTCTGAAGCCTCACGATACTCTCACAATGTCTGTAGCGCGTCTTTCCTCCTCTGCTCTGAGGACTTCCCTCAGAGCCTCCCCTTTCAAGGTGTCGGCTTTCAACGCTGCTCGCTGCTACTCTTCCAAGAACCAGGTAAGGTGGCCCTCTTATCCCGTCCGGCCGTCCGGCCGCCCTACCTCGGGTATCGTGAAGCTGACACGTTCGCATCTAGACCTTGAAGGAGCGCTTCGCTGAGCTTCTCCCCGAGAAGATTGAGGAGGTCAAGGCTCTGAGAAAGTGAGTGCATTGCCAATGGTTCTCGTTATCGCAACGTCGACATCCGCTAACCTCGCCGTCGCAGAGCGCATGGCTCCAAGGTCATTGACCAGGTCACCCTTGACCAGGTCTACGGTGGTGCCCGTGGCATCAAGTGCCTGGTCTGGGAGGGTTCCGTCCTCGACGCCGACGAGGGTATCCGTTTCCGCGGCAAGACCATTCCCGAGTGCCAGGAGCTCCTCCCCAAGGCTCCCGGCGGCAAGGAGCCCCTTCCTGAGGGTAAGTCCAGATTTCACGACAATTCTCGCAGCCGTTATGCTGACAACCTCTAAAGGTCTCTTCTGGCTTCTCCTGACTGGCGAGGTTCCTACTGAGCAGCAGGTTCGCGACCTGTCCGCCGAGTGGGCCGCCCGCTCCGACATCCCCAAGTTCGTCGAGGAGCTGATCGACCACTGCCCTACCGACCTGCACCCCATGGCCCAGTTCTCCCTGGCCGTTACCGCCCTCGAGCACACCTCCTCGTTCGCCAAGGCCTACGCCAAGGGTGTCAATAAGAAGGATTACTGGGGATACACCTTTGAGGACTCCATGGACCTGATCGCCAAGCTGCCCACCATTGCCGCTCGCATTTACCAGAACGTCTTCAAGGGCGGTAAGGTCGTCGCCGTTGAGAAGGACAAGGACTACTCCTTCAACTTCGCCAACCAGCTTGGCTTCGCCAGCAACACCGACTTCGTTGAGCTGCTCCGTCTCTACCTCACCATTCACACCGACCACGAGGGTGGTAACGTCTCTGCCCACACCACCCACCTGGTCGGCAGTGCTCTGTCCTCCCCCTTCCTTTCCGTTGCTGCTGGTCTCAACGGTCTGGCCGGTCCTCTCCACGGTCTTGCCAACCAGGAGGTCCTCAACTGGCTCACTGAGATGAAGAAGTCCGTTGGCGACGACCTCAGCGACAAGGCCATCACCGACTACCTCTGGTCTACGCTGAACGCCGGCCGTGTCGTTCCCGGTTACGGCCACGCCGTCCTCCGCAAGACTGACCCCCGTTACTCTGCCCAGCGCCAGTTCGCCCAGGGTTCGTATCCTCCATGATTGACAGTTCAGATTCGACGGGATAAATACTGACAACCCTACAGAGAAGATGCCCAACGACCCCATGTTCCAGCTCGTCTCCCAGGTCTACAAGATCGCCCCCGTCGTCCTTAAAGAGCACGGCAAGACCAAGAACCCCTACCCCAACGTCGATGCCCACTCCGGTGTCCTCCTCCAGTACTACGGTCTCACCGAGGCCAACTACTACACCGTCCTCTTCGGTGTCTCCCGCGCTATCGGTGTTCTTCCTCAGCTCATCATCGACCGCGCTCTCGGTGCCCCCATCGAGCGCCCCAAGTCCTTCTCTACTGCCAAGTGGGCCGAGCTTGTCAAGAAGATCTAAATGTGTAAGCTTAGAAGACGGGAGAGAGAGAAAAGGAGACGCGACTGCGGACGCAAGTAATGCTGCGTGCGTGGGAAAGGCATCAGGGTCGCATGAGCGATCAACAATAGACATGAATGGCAGCGTGTTGTTTCAGTCAGGGTGGATAGAAAAGCTTTGGGCGATACCATCCACTGCGCTTGTACAATACCGAGAAGGGCTGCTTTTACCGGGAATTACTGGGTAGTTTAGTTACCTAAGGGCCGAGGCTGGCTTGCGTCCGAATACACCATTTACGAATTTGAAGTTTACAACTGGTCCCCTCTTTATACCACCGCTCTACTGTCTGTGACATTGACCACAAT